ACTTAAATCTTCTCCAGTGAAAACACAGGAGTATAAAAATTTGTAAATGCCATGCTCTGCTGATCTTGCCAGAAAAAGTTCAATATCTGCTTTTCGGTTATTGTAGTTTTATCCTTCCAAAAATCTATTTCTGGGAGGTTATCTATGAGAAGATGAAAAGTCCAATCCTTTCAGAAAGACTACTTCTAGCTCAATTCTACTCAGGTGTAAACCAGAAGCAAGAGCGCTTTATGCAGTTCTTAACTTGTAAAAACCATGTATTTTGGAAGACTCACCATAAAATGTGATCAAAGTAGTAAAGATCATTTTCTATATCTATACTTATCTATGGTTCTACTTGTAAACTATGTATCTGAGGCGGGGGTTGGGGGGTGTTGCATGTGAGTGTAGGTACTGGGAACTAAATGGAATTCTGCAAGAGCATCGAGTGTTCTTAACTGATGGGCTGTATCTTCAGGCCTGATCCATGGTTCTTTATAATGAAAAGTTGGAATGCCTTTAATTTATCAGAAAGGGACACAATAAATGTTTTAAATTAAAAGTAAAATGGAATTAATATTTAATATGAGAGATAGTAAAGACTACTTTGGGATAAAAATCAAATAATAGTTTGTTTTTGTCAACAAACTTTCCCTATGACTTTGCTATAGTATGAAGAATTCAAAAGCTGGGTGGGACATGCTCATAATTCTATCACTTTGGAAGCTGAGGCATGAGGATTTTAAGTTTGATACCATCTTTGACTACACAGCAAATTCCAGGCCAGCCTGAGCCAATTAGCAAGCCATCTAAAAACAAAATAGTGAAATAACTCCTCACAGAGAGAAAATTTACTAATTCAGAATGATCAGTGGAAATTAAACTTCTAGTTACTTGGAATTGTTACTTAAAAATTGCTATTTAGAGCTGGGCATGGTGGTATACATCTAAAATTCCCAGCATTTGGAAGGCTGAAGCAGGAGAATGGAGAGTTCAAGGCCAGCCTGGAGTACACAGAGAGCCTACCTCAAAAAACACAAGGGAAAATAAAACAAACAAACAAACAAAAAAAACACAAGAAAAAAAATTTTTTGAGGCAGGGTCCTGCAATGTCCTCCTCCTGCCTCTGCCACCTAAGTGCAAGGATTTCAAATGTGTGCTAACATACTCACCTTTTAAGTGCTTTTGCTATATAGGCTATATTGTCTTAGAACAATGTAGTTTTAAAAGGCTGGCCTCAAAGTCATGGCATTTTTCCTGCCTTAGCCTCCTGAGTGCTAGATTATAGGTATGTACCACTATACCTGATCTCAAATACTCTTTTAAGTATAGATACCTATGAGGGTTTTTTTTTTTCTTTGTAATGAATTGGGAAGTAAATTCTGATTACATTGTGTATTTTAAAGCAGGTTTTCAAAAAGATGAAATTTATTATTATAAATATCAAGTATCAGTGTGTTCTAAAATTGTTAGTTTTATTATAAAAGACAAATAGCACAAAAAGCTTTAGTACAATATTTTGAAAGTTATATTTTCTTTTTTCTTTTTGAGATAGGGTTTCTGTGTGTAGCCCTGGCTGTCCTGGAATGCACTGTGTAGATCAGGCTGTCCTCAAACTCACAGAAACCCACATGCCTCTGCCTCCCAAGTGCTGGGATTAAAGGCATGTGCCACCACTGCCTTGCTCAAAGTTACATTTTCTAGGGTAAGGAGTTTAGTTTTTATTTTTTTCTTAAAAAAATGATACTTTTTTGCTACTGTTGTTTTTTATAGACAGGGTTTCTTTTGTGTAACAGCCTGGCTGTTCTGAAACTTGCTTTGTAGACCAGCCTGGAACTTACAGAGATCCACCTGCCTCTGCCTCCCCAGTGCTGGGGTGGAGGTGGGGTTGGGGGGAGGGATTAAAGACATGTGCCAACACACCTGGCTACAAGTGATATCATTTAGTAAGAATTTCAGATTTTAATGTTTCCTCATTTGTAATATCAGAGATAAAAAATGTGAAAATTCTATCCAGATACTTCGTATTTCTTTGTTCTAGAAGTCCACTTTTTAGACTTTTGTGCTTTAATATAGTTAATATTTTTCCTGTTGTAATGTTTTGGTAACTTTATTTGCCTTTGAGCCAGAGGTACTAGCTGGTAGAAGATCCAAGTGAACTTTTAAGGAGTGGTTCTCCACCTCCCTTACTCTGTGATCCTTTAAAACAATTCCTCATGTTGTGGTGACCACCAATCATAAAATTATTGTTACTACTACTTAGTAACTGTAACTTACTACTGTTATGAATCATATTGTAAATATCTGTGTTTTCCAGTGGTCTTAGGAGACCCCTGTGAAAGGGTAGTTTGAACCCCAAAGGGTCTATAGGTTAAGAAATATTGTCTTAAGACATCCGAGGTATCTTACTCAGGCTGTTGGTAACTGGTATGTATGCATATATAAAATCTTATCTAGCTGCATGTTTAAGATTGTGTACTTTATGGTTATGTATTACACCTCAAATGAAAGGGTAGCTAGATACTTGGAAAGGCTGAAAATCACATATATAATTTAGGTCAAGACATATGTGGAGGGGGAGGCAGACATACAAGGTATCTGATGCTCCTAGCAAATGGACCTCTAATCATTTTCAGGTAGAGTAACTATGTCTGAATTTATATTAAAGCTTCAATGATGGGAAATTATTAATATTCTATAAGAAGTGGTGTCAAGAAGAACTCATTATCAGTTTATAAGCTTTTTGAGAGCTTAAGCAACTGGATGTTAAGAAACCATCTTCAAATAAATGTTTTATGATTACATATGCTTTTCACTTTTGCCTCTTAAGGTTTGGTTTTGTAGTATTGTGTGGCCTTCCAAAGGATGGAGAATAAAAATAAAGTTTGGTTTTGTTACTTAGCAATTGTTTTTAATATGGTGAATAGCTGAAATTGTAATTGTGATTTAAAAATGATGCATTGTTTTCCTATTAAGGGAGAAAAAGAGTTGGTTTATGTTGAAAACACAAATACTTAATCTGATTCAAAAGTGCTTAAAAAAAAAAAAAACTTTTCCTTGGAACTGTTATCACCTCCAAAAGCCTTTGAGAGGATTAGCTGCATAGACCGATACTGTTCTATATTAGTCAGTATTAAGTGTATGATGTCACCTTTTCCTTCCCCTCCTAAGCTTTTATTTTGAGGGAAAGGAAGACTTTTGGGGGGGTAAGCTTGAAAATACTAAGGCTTAAATACCACTGATATACATGATTGACAACCTTATACCCCAAACCTGTCTGAAATGGGTCAAATACTTAAGCGCTGCAGAACAATGCAATCCAACCAGCAATTTCCCACAAAAGAGAAAGGGGGTGTGATTAGACTCCCGCTATTAAGCAAGTTGTTGAAAAACAACAACAACAAAAAAACCAGTTCCGCGGTTTGTTTCTGCAACAGGCAGAGGTTAAGCTTGTTTCTTCTAATTAGTTCCCCCACCAAAGGGCTATGCTGTAAGAGACCAGCCGGATCGCCAAAGCAAGCAGCAACTGGGACAAACATTAAGGGCTTTATGGAGGAGGTCCTTCGACTGTCCCGCAGAATTGGTTATTGATCGTTCACCCCGCCGGGGGGAGCGATCGATCAGAATTTGTGTAAGGTGTATCGAGCCACAGTTAAGGATACATGTGTGTGTGTGGTGGTGGTGGTGGGGATATAAGATTCTAATAAAAGAAACGCAGCAACAATAGCGGAGAAACAGCTCTGCCTGGTGACGTAATGGCTGGCAGCGGTCCAGCTTCGGCAGAGCTGCCGCTACCTCAGCATCCAACCTCCCTCAACCCGGTCCAGCCCCGGCAGAGCCACCGGAGCTGTTACTTCTTACGATGCCGCTCTGTGGTCGCCACCAACGCCTTACCGTGGAGGTCTGGAACACTGAACAAAGGGTGTCCCACAGTCTTAAGTTGTCGGGGCACGCATACTCTCTCACACTTCTCCAACCCTCTCAGGCACCGAGTCCATCAGCGGCTTAAGTTGAGGGAGAGGGAAAAGACCGGAGTGCCTCAGTGTCCCCAGGCTG